TTGATCGCCTTGCAGTCCAAGGGACTCGCAGGAGTCTTCTCCAGCACCAGAGTTCAAAGGCCTCAGTTCTTTGGCGCTCAGCCTTCCTTATGGTCCAGCTTTCAGAGCCATACATTGCAACTGGGAAAACCATAACCTTGACTATAACTACTTTTGTTGTCAGGGTGATGTCTCTGCTTTTTAATATGCTGTCTAGATTTGCCATAGCTTTCTTCTCCAGGAGCAAGGGTCTTTCAATTTCTTGGCTGCAGTTCCCATCTGTGGTGATCTTGGAGCCCAGGAAAATAAAATCTGTCACTACCTCCATTTCTTCCCCATCTATTTGCCAGGAATTGAGAGTGCCGGATGCCAGGATCTTACTTTTCTTAATGTTGAATTTCAAACCAGTGGATAGCAGTGGAATATAAGCCAGGAGACCATTGCTCTTTTCAAATACAAATAAAATTATAGCAAACCTCTGGAGAAGGTTTGGTAGCCAAAATGCATCAGATTATGCAATATAGCACTAGTTCCCAGAAGATCAGTAACCTGTGCATAGCTCCATAGATCAGCATTTCCTCCATTTTGGCTTACAAATAATATGGTGCACACACTAGTAAACAACTGGAGTTATCCAGCTGTCCCAAAGCAACATTTTGGAAGGTATGACATTAACTCAGAGGCAAATAATGGTTTGCACATAGCTAAATGTTTTTGGAGATTCTCAGTCATCCAGGTCATGGTTGTCTCAAAGGTGCTTTTTTCAAGAGGCAACTGGATTTTCTGATTTTTCTTTGAAGAAATTTCACTTCTCATCCAAGAAGCTTCTTCAACTCTGACAGGATAGTGGGGAATGAAAGGATTTATATTCCTTGCTGAAGAAGCTTCTTGGATGAGAAGCGAAACGTCTTCAAAGAAAAAACAGAAAGTCCAGTTGTCTCTTCAAAAAACACCTTTGAGATTTGCACGTACTGTATTTTTCAGAGTATAAGATGCACCTTTTTCCCTGAAAAAAGGAGGCTGAAAATCTGGCCGTGTCTTATACACTGAATACAGCATTTTTGGCCTCCTGAAACTCCACCCCCTTTGCAAAAATGGCCGTGCATAGCTTTTAGGAGGCTTCCAGAGTGCTCCTTGGGGCTGGGAAGGGCAAAAACAAGCAAAAACAGGCTGTTTTTTGCCCCTGCCCCCAGCCCTCAGGAGCACTCTATAAGCCTCCTAAAGGCTATGCATGCCATTTTTTTGACAAAAAACGGCCCCCTTTTCACAAAAAAACAGGCTGTTTTTTGCCGCTCCCCCCAGCCCCCAGGAGTACTCTATAAGCCTCCTAAAGGCTATGCATGCCATTTTTTTGACAAAAAACGGCCCCCTTTTCACAAAAAAACAGGCTGTTTTTTGCTCATTTTTGGGTCCCCCCAGCCCCCAGGAGTACTCTATAAGCCTCCTAAAGGCTATGCATGCCATTTTTTAAACAAAAAACGGGCCCATTTTCATGAGAAACCGGCCGTTTTTGGGAGATCTGCAGAGTGCAAAAACTTTTTTTAAAAAATTTGCCTCTTCAAAATCTTAGTGCGCCTTATACTCTGGTGCATCTTATACTTCAAAAAATACGGTAGGTTTCCCTGCTTTAATTTAGTTATGTCATATTTTTCTACATTGCATCCACTATTCTTCGGCACTGTTCTTTTTTTTTTCCTTTTGACCATCACATTTTTCATTTAATGTTCTGAAAATGGTAGAGGAAACATAACTCTCCAAACCCACTTTAGATATTATGAAACGGAAAGTAACAAGATAAGGCTGGGAAGAAAGTGGCCTTAAAATAATGCTGCTTTATGCTTTTTTCTTAGCCTCCTATGTCCAATTCAAGGAAAGAAGTCATCATGCAAGCTTTTCGAAAGCTAGATAAGACCGGGGATGGAGTCATCACCATTGAAGATTTGCAAGGGGTCTACAATGTAAAACATCATCCCAAGTACCAAAATGGAGAATGGAGTGAAGAGCAGGTTTTTAGGACTTTCCTGGACAACTTTGATTCACCCTATGATAAAGATGGACAGGTAAGTGAGAAGGAGATTAAAAGCAAAGCCAAAGTTAAGTCATGTCACACATTCCATAGGCTCTGTTGTTGTTTTTTTAAGAGGAATTTGTTGAAATTGTCAATAGAAATCTTTCCTCTTTGTCCTCCTCCTGGGCAGCCACTCAACATAGAAAGGAGGCATCATGCACTGTATATTGATATTCAATAGGTCTGCCTCTTTCCATTCCCCCAGAGCCCTAGAATGCAACTTACTCCTTAGCAGGGGTCGGCAACCTTGAACACAAGAGCCACAAAGGTCCTAATAGAAAGCCCCCCTTTCAATTCTGGAGCTGACCGGAATTCTGGTTCCCCCATGATTGAGTCTCCTCCTAGTGTGGCGTCCTTTTTCCTCTGCCAATCGGAAGTCTGGTTCCCCCACCAGAGTCTCCTCCTAGTGCAGCGTCCTCTTTCCTCTACCTGTCCTAACCAAAAGCACTAACCCTAACCTTAACCCTATCAATTGTGGAGCCAACCGGCGACAGGGAGTCGCAGCAGAGATATGAAAGAGCCATATGCGGCTCCAGAGCCACAGTTTGTTGACCCCTGTCCCATAGGAAAATAGAATATATCTTACCTTTTAAAGGAAATTCACTGAGATTATGCAAACTATGTTTCTATATCTCTTACGATGCTTAATTTTGTTCTAGAATTGTGAAATTAAAGCCAGACTCTTTGTGGTTTTCATAAGAAAAAAGTGAGGGGAAGGATCTATAGATCTTGCATTCCAGTAAAACACGTTTCACTTCTTTCTTTCAATGGGATTGTTCTTTGTGCTTCTTGTAGGAGCAGTGCAATTGAATTGTACCTTGACAAACCTAGGCAGATTTTAAGATCAAGGTCCTATGAGACTTCCAGATCCAGACAGACAGGCAGGTACTAGCCAATCAACCAGACATTGTGATAGTATATATGTCAGTGATGCTAGTAACAGACCCAACGCAACCAAAACTCTAAGGCCTGAGTGTTCCTCAAAGTACAGATTTATTAGGCATGTCATATTGGCACATCTGGTGAAAACCCGACTCTGAAAGTCCTGCGGTTTTCCCCACCCAAATTAAAAGTAAAAGTTCTCTCTCCCCCATCCACATGTCCATCACATGGTCCAATCAGGTCACCATCCAAACTCCAGTTGGTTTTAGTCCACGCCTCCCCAGCACCTGGTGGAAACATCCTTGGTTCCAAGGAGAAAGAATTTTATTTCGGCTACAAAAGTCCCCAGCTATCTCTATTCCCCTCTCCCGTTCCCACAGCTCCAGCCAGTCTTGTTGTGGCAGCCCTGAAGATGCTCCAAAATGACTTTGGGGTTGACCATACAAGAACCAGGGGAATATGGTGGTGACAGATGTAGCATGCCAAGCAACAGCGACATCAGGAAGGTTTGGGGAATGGAGAAGTACCAGGGCCTGAAGGAGACAATGTGGAAAAGAAGGCCAAAGTACTCCCAATTTTAGCACTGCGCTCTCCTGGACAGAGAGACCTGATGTTGTTCCTGGGTTCTGTTGGAGCCACTTTCCCAACTTAGGAGTCACAACACCAAATGATGATTTAACAGCTGACTAACTGTAAGGCTACTGAAAACCTGTAAACTGAGATGATGCAATGAGAATGAGTCAGCAGGGTTACTGCCACTTTAAGAAACTGTCTATATAAGGGAGGCCATGTGAAGGTGTCTCTGTGTGTGTGTGTGCTTCCATGTTATAGTTGAAGATTGATCGATTGCCTGGTTTTGTCTAGGATGTGTGTTTGTGTGTGTGTTGTATGTATGTATGCATGTATGTATGTATGTATGTATGTATGTTTGCATGTCTCAAAAAAGTAGTCACACTATGCACACTCTGACACATTTCTTTAAGCTGGAAAACTGACTCCGACAGATCCCAGGAACAACATTGGGGCTCTCTGTCCAGAAGAGTGTAGTAGTGCTAAGAGCAGCTAAGATACTGTGCAGAACTCTCAAACTCCCAGGTCTCTGATAGAGGCCTGAGATGGAGGGACATACTACTCATAGAGGCGAAAAGGGAATCTCCCCATAGAACATAATGTATCTTTTAATTCTTGCACATCATAGTTTACACATTTATTTAAATAAAAAAAACTTTCTTTTTTTCTTTTTTAAACTTTTCTATCGTAGGTCACAACAGAGGAATTCATGAACTATTACGCTGGTGTCAGTGCTTCGATAGATACCGATGTCTATTTCATTGTGATGATGAAAAATGCTTGGAAAATCTGATCTCCTAAAATGACTCTGTTATTCTTGTGCTTTTGCTCTAAACATCTCCTTCATCCAATGTGCAGGACAGTGGTTATACTAGCTATACAGAATGGCGTTGGCAGCCTTTACCAAAATAAATTAAAATGCCTTATTCTTACTGTGATCGTTGTGTCCATTGTTTTAGCTCCACCAATGTCAGGGGAAAATGGATTTTTCAGCAAGCAAGATTTCTCAGTGCAAATAACATGGCAAATCGGTTAGTAACATCCCCAAGAACAAATGGTGGTAGGATCAGAGGTTGTTTAAAAAAAAAAAAAAACTTTTCTCCAGCGACAAGCCTAGCATTGAAAAGGCTACTTAAGCTATCAAGTCCGTCTTGCTCTTCTGGGCTGGAACTCAAAACATCTCCATCAGAGGACCTTCCAACCTCAACTTGAATGTATCTCGTGAAATACTTAGATAATTGCCACCTGTTAGGAAGTTTTTTGATAACATTCCATTATAATCTTTGTTTCTGTATTAGCAGACTTCTAGCCTACCTGTTCCGGCTATATTGTCTTATTTTCCTTCCCCCAAAAATACTTGGTACAAGTTGTGGGAACATCGTGTAGAATAGAGGTGTCAAACTCAATTTCTTTGAGGGCCGCATCAGGTTGTGTTTGACCTCGGGGGGGAGGGAGCGTGGCCAGGGGGGCCATGGCCAGTTCAACATCACTCCTAAAGCATCCCTGGCCTGCTCTCGAGTTGCCATAGACAAAGGGGGTGTGGAACTGACGACACAGTATGGCAACCACAAACAGAAGCACATTCCATGTTTATCTTTCTCAAGGCTGTTGCCCAGGTTACCCGCAGAAGCCAGAGGGGCGTGATCTCTACAGCTCGTGAAAGTGCTCCTTTGGAGAATGTGATTTATGACATACCCTGGTGCAAAGGGGGGAAAAGGGTCATAATTGGGTCGTAAATTAGGTGGGTTCAGAGTTGGCTTCACTTGGATAGGTGCTCACATGTTGCTCCTAATAAATAACTCGATTTCTTTTGAAGCTTGGATCAAGACTCATGGTTTAATTAGGGCATCCGTCGGACCCCTGGCAATTCGTGTTGGGGGTGCTTGTGGCAGCCCAAATGCTCTGCCTGCAACGGCCTCCTGCAACCCACTGCCAGCAAAAAACAGAGCTCGGGAGGACTGCTCCGTTTTCATTGGCAAAAGCACCATGGGCTAGTCCTTTGCTATTCCCAGGGTGACCCTATGGGCCAGATCAAAGCGCCCCATGGGCTGGATCCAGGACTTTGAGTTTGACAGCCCTGATGTAGAAAATGTTGCAGGTAGAAAAGAGGATTTATTTGTTTGTTTATTTATTGAAAAAAGTTCAGAAAACACAGAACCAGGAACTGTGAATTGTATCTAGTGGTCCCATTACTGTGCCATATTTCTGAAAGTCATTCAACAAATTTTTGCTAGTCCTTTGAATCCATTTAAATCTGAAAAATTCTTTGGGTGGCAGAGTGCATAGCATAGCCCAGAGCAGAATAGTTAAATCAATTCAACACCTTCCCCTTCTGCAAAGACAAATGTATCAATGGATACAATCCACTATTCATTTGCAAGTTGTTCTAAGTAAGTGAACAACATAATGCAATGGAGATATCCCTCTTTGAGAGCTTAAGTGAAAGTGGACTTCATGCACAATGTTAATTGATTCCAGATACCTTTTCTGTAAAACCCCCAGCCTTGAAGAGCTTCTAAAGTTAATGTATTGTTTATGATCCTCTATAGTGTAAGGTTCATGAGTTCAATTCCCAGTAGAGGGTTTGGATTCCATGGAGTGGCTATATAGCTGGTCCTTGACAAAGGGCCATAATTGGGACCAGAATTTCTATTGCTAAGCAAGGCAGTTAATTAAATGAGTCGTGCCCAATTTTACAACCTTCTTGCCATGGCTGTTAAGTGAATTGCTGCAGTTGTTAAGTGAGCCATGCAGTTGTTAGTGAATTTGGCTTCCCCTTGTTGACTTTGTGTGTCAGAAGCTGGCTGGTAAGATCATAAATGATGGTCACATGACCCCAGATGCTGCACCCATCTTAAGTACACGCTAGTTGTCCAGAACCCAAATTTTGATCAGGTGACCATGCGGAGGCTGCAGTGTTCATAAGTATGAGAACCAGTCATAAGTCATTTGTTTTCGAGTCATTCAGGGATGAATGCTACCGGTTCGGACCAGTCTACCCGAACCAGTAGTAAAAAAAAGCTACCAGTTCGGGCAAACCATTTTTTCCAACGATCAGCTGTGACACATGATTTATATTAGCTAGAAAGCAGATTTCCTGCTTTCTAGCTAATCTAAATTGCGTGGCACAGCGGATTCCTCCCCCATCACTATTTGATTATCTTTTCAGGCGCACTTGGTAGCAGGCTCCGCCCGGACATCATCACATCCATTTTTGACCCTCTGTGCATGTGTGGAAGGTCCTGCGCATGCGCAGAGGTGGTACGTGTGAGTAAAGCTAGCACGTGCATGCTCACATTGCTACCGAACTGGTAGCAGAGGTAAGTGGATTTCACCCCTGGAGTCATTGCAACTTCATATGGCCACTGAACAAATGATTGCAAGTTGAAGATTACGAGTGTGCAAAATATGAGTAAGGGGATCCTTATTCTACATTTTTTCTTTATTCAAAGTTTTGTAACTAGTTAGGACAGGAAGGGAAGGGTAGATTTTAATTATTGGTTACGCCTTAGTCCACAATTTTGTTATCAATAAATATTTGGTTTGCATTCTGCTTAGGCAAGACCGATGGAAGAAAGCTGTAGGTATTATTCATAAATAATGCTCATGGGCTAAAATTAAATCCATTGGCTAATGTTGACCGTTTATTAATGACTTTATTTATTTAAATAAAGCATCCAAATTCAAAGACATTTGTTATATTTATACAAACATTATTATTCCATCAACATAAAAAAAATTAATCATATGAAACCCCTCCTTATAAAAATGAAACATAGCAGCGAATAACATGGTAAATTAAAGGCAAGATTATACATCTATTGAAAGAATATAGAACACATAATGATACAATTTTTAAAATTGCTTTAGCATCCCTTGAATATTTCTCAGAGAAAGCTAAATCAAAAGCAGCAGTGATATATAGTAGAATTCAAGTCTTATCTGGTATTACAGTTATAGATATTAATGCGAGGGTACCCAACCCCCCCCCCCCGATCTGTGGACCGGGCCTGGGCTGGGCTTGCCAGAAACCAGGCTGCGCAAACAAGCAAAGCCCCATCCGCGGGATGCAAGCAGCACATGAAACCATGCCCCCCTCAGTCCGTGGGAAAACCTCTCACCACAGAACCAGTCCCTGGTCCCTAAAAGGTTGGAGGGGGGGGCACTGTATTAATGAACTGATCACTATAGCTAGTAATACAGACATATTGGTGGAATATTTTTGATGACATTATTAGTAAAGATAAAAAATAAGATAAAACTACACATAACATACAATTTATATTATTCATATCCACAAGGCACTGTGTGGACCAAGACATGGAGTGGCCTTAAGGAGAAAAGTTCTCCAATTAAGACAGGAGAAATCTACCAATCCTAATCACAACATAGAACTTCTTGGAAAATATTGGGGAGCAGCAAAGAGGATGGACTACACTATTGTCCCTTTTCTGAGTGTGCAGAGCTTCTTCCTAGTTACTCTGGAAAAAAGGATGCTGAATTGCTGGACTTTGCTACAATGCAACACGATTTGTTTTTCATTAAATGGGCAGGAATTGTTGTGGCTCGCCAGCAGCCAGCAAAGCTGGCAGCAGATTCGGACAATGAGGAGGTTGGGGAGGAACATGGGCCAGCCCTGGAGTCTGGGAAAGCTGTGGTTCAGAGGCACAGAGACGGGGCCAGAGCCATATGCCAGTTATCAGCTGCCTTCAGAATCAGACATCAATGAGGCAGACAACCAGCTGGAGCTTGTTCCCAGTGTGTGCATGCACAGAGTTACCGGACGAAAGGAACAGCTAAAGAACAGGGGTCCTCTTGGGAGTAAGACCACAGGTGGACGATGAATGGCCCCTCCCAGAGGAAATAAAAGAGGAGCAAAAGGGGAGTGGAGTTTGCAGGAGACAATTAGTTTGCTTAATCGTTTCATGAGTCTCCAAGACTCCTTGCCAAGTTTTGCAGATATCGCCCTGTGAGCTCTCCAAGCCAGATAAGATCTGTGACTGTAAATCCTCCCTCGAAAGACTTTGCTGGATGTAAATGAGCAGAATTCACGGTAAATTAATA